ACCTACGTCTTCTACGCCAAGCTCGATTACGAGTGCTACCTGAGTCACGGCCACAATCTGTTTCTTACAGACAACGGCGTGGTGCTCTCGTACCAGGACATTCCGGCGATGTATCTCACACATCACTACCGTCCTCCTCACGAGCAAGATCCGGGTGGCATTCGCCACGAGAGGAAGCAGCAAAGCGCAGGGGTAGGCTCTTCTCAGGAAGAGGGAACCTCAGCGTCTGCTTCCGCATCTGCTTCCGGAGGCCCTCCACAGGGAGGGGTACCGGGTAGCAGCTCGGATCCAATGCCTTCGAAGCCAGCTCCCAAGAAGCGGCCAAAGACATCTCAGGATGCAGGCCAAGCGTCACCGGGAAGCTTCTCTCAGGAGAAGGTACCCACATTGGACGCGGCAGCTCTCCAGAAGCTTATTCGTGACAATGAGCTTAAGGCAGAGCGGGAGCGGCAAGCCACAGCCTCCGAAGGAGACACCAAGTATGCGTATCAGTCTGGGGACACCGTCCACGGCAAGATTGATGCGCATAAGTCCCAGCAGCAGGAGGAGCTCAACGAGGTTCTCCGCAAGGCCAGGACGAATCCATGGCATCTCTTCGCGCGGCAAGTTGCACATGGTGGACTCCTCTGGCCAGCCGATGCTTAGCACCTATGGCGATGCCCTCGTTCAGGTCACCCCCTGGCACACTTTGACTACTTCTATGAGAGAGTCTTTGGGTGGTGAATACGATTGGGCATCGTGGTTGCAGCATCCTCTTTCGGGGTACTCCCTGCACTTCTTCCTCAAGGCCTTCGAGATGGGGAAGTTGCAGGGGAACTACCTCGTGGAGCTGGACAAGAAACCGAAGGTTTACTCCAACGGTTACACGTCACCTTGGATGAACTTTAAGCGTCATCCTGGCGGTCTTGCCCAGATGCTGGACGATGTCTCCGTTGCCGCGTCGAACGAATTCAGGCCCAACTTGGGTAACATTGGATTCGATCGCCCTCGGGACAATGACTCTCGTGCAAAGATGCCAAGGACAGAGGATCCCGACTACTCTCGCAAGCTCGCCGCACACAAGGCTTTCCTCAGGGAAAGGTATGTGTATGAAGAGGTTGGCTATGTGCGAGAGGATTTCCAGATGCTCGTCCGCGTCATCAATGAGGCTTATGGAGTGGACTTCTTCTCCTACATCCAGCGCCACGCCGGTGATCTGGAGGTTCGCCGTAAATACACGGTGCGAACCCCTGAGGGCTATTGTCTCTATGACAGTACCCTGAAGCAGCCGTTCAACGGCAGCTACCTCCTGGCGGTTCTGGAGAAAGTCTTCGCTGAGTCTGACCAGCGCGATTTCAAGTCGGCTTTCGCCCGCAAGGCAAAAGCTGATTTAGTGGCGTACGAAGACTTGAAGGCGAAGAAGGAGTCTGAGCTGAATGAGCTCCTCACCCGACCATATGACGACATTATGATTGAGGAGTTCATCGAGCGACTCCCATGTCCACAGATCGAGGAGATCGAAGAGCCTCCCGCGGCTACTCAGATGGATACCTCCGAACCGTCGTCTGGATCCACGGACTTGCCACAGGGCAAGAAGGTTGATCCGGTTAAGACCGAGCCGACCGATGTGCCAATGGAGACTGATGCTCCAGGAAGCTCTCCACAGGGAGAGGTACCTGGGGCTACTGTCGAGTCAATGGAGACCGAAGCCACGGAAAGCTCTCCACAGGGAGAGGCATCCGAGGTGAAGGTCGAACCTGATGTGCACATGGGTCAGGAAGGAGGTAAGTCCGAGAACATTGAAATGGCTGAGGAAGGCTCACCACAGGGTGAGGAATCCATGCCAGACATTTCTCCCGAGAAGGATGATGAAAGTGAACTTCACGATCAAGGCATCTGGGGGAAATGCAAGACTGTTCCGGATCCTGAGTACTACCAGGCCGCGAAGGATGCAGAGGACCAGAATGAGAACGCGTTCGACAAAATGGGCAAGGCAAAGGAAAAGATCGAGCTCGTTGATCTCGAAGAGTTCAAACATTTCCTTAATCAGCTCACCGAAATCGAACGACAAAGCCCTATGCGGATGCTCTGCAAGCAGCTGCATGGATATGGCTATTCAGGCTTGTATCATACAGGACTTCGTGATCCTGATTACGAGCCCGTTCTCGCCTACAAGGTGCAGCATATGAGTTGGAGGGTAAATGTTCCGAACCACAAGGGACAGAAATACTCTCTCTCTATGGTGGATCTATTCGACCAACTCAACAAGATGGATCCCATCTATGAGCGTCGTCCCGACAAAAAGGACGTTGTTTTTCGTTCTGGGGACGTTCGTAGCACCTTGGACGACAAGCTCATGGGCAAGGCCTCTGACATCCGAGAATCAGCACTGGATGTTATGGAAGCACTTCTTGATAAGCTGAAGTCCCTGGATGCAAGCGGCAATCCGGCAACTCGAGAAGAACTTTTGAATGCTATGCTTCACTACTTCTTGAGCACCGGAGTCGATGAAGAGGAGATCGGGGACCTCTCTCTTGAGAAGACGCCGAATCCTTATATTCATCGTTTTGGTCTGGCAGAGGACTCCAATGTCCCTATCTTCACCAGCAAGACCAAGTATGCCGCGCTCATCCTCAATCTCGGCAACATGAGCAGGGGAAGAAAGCGTTCCGCTCCTAGCTCCGTTGCTAATCACATTGACTGGGACGATGCTACACCATCTAAAGGAGCCTTGATAAAATCGATTGCACAGTCGAAGACGCATTTGTTCATGCTCTGCGAAGCGGCTAAGATCGATGACTCCGAAGAGGCCTTCCTCAAGTCACGCGGTTGGCAATTCCTTCGTAACGAGTCCAAGGACCTGATGGTGGGAAGTCGTACAAATGGTGTCGGATCTTCGATCACCCGTCTTGCCGGCTCCACTCTCAGTGGATATGCCCACGAGTCCCTTCCAATAACCTATATGGTCGCGGAAATCGTGTATGGAGTGTATGGCATGACGTTACCGACCGGTCTCCAGGGCAGTCGTGGTGATGTTCCAGATGAGTCACTGACCAAGGTCTTGGAGCGAGCTGGATCCGACCGGCTAAGAGTTTGTGTCTTCCACCTCCACAACGACGCGGCGGCAGACAAGGTGGCGTTGGCTCATGAAGTGTTGGGCAACATGTTCATCGACTGCTTGCACTACCAAGTCGACCTCATCGGTGGCGACGCCAACATGGCCCTCTACCGGGCCACCGGCAGAAAGCAGGAGTCGATGGATATTCGTGGCGGGATGTACCAAAGCCTTCTCGACTACTTCTTGGAGGCATGGTCAGAAAGCCCAAAGTGCCCACACTTCTGTTCGCCTCGTGCGAGACATGTGTCAGCAAACGCCATGTGGCTTCTGAAACAGTATGAGGACACGCTGGGAATGCCATACAAGGAAGCTAAGCAACCAGACTGGAATACTTTTCCTGGTTTGGATCCTGTTATGGCTACAGTCATGGAATGGGGACACAGCATGTCGGACGATCAATGGGCGGAGTTTCCGTCTTCAAAGACTGAGTTCGACATCCATGTCTCTGAGTGGCTGTTAAACTCCACCAGCGCCGCGTACCTTCTCAACGATCGGGACTATGACGCTCACACTCCGCTCCTCATCGAGGTTCACGCGAACCAGTACTCTGGAGGCAGGATGAGAGCGCTCAACCGCAATCCCGACACCGTGAAGGAAGCCGCGGACAGAAGAAAAGAGAGACAGAAGCTGAACAAGGCGCGTGGTTCTGGTTCTACTGGTCCTGCAGCCGCACCACAGGGAGCAAGCTCTTCTCAGGGAGAGGCAGCTTCTGGTGCTAAAGCTTCTGGTTCTCAACGTCCTCAAGAACCCGCACAACCTCCTGGTGGCAAAGAAGACGGCAAAGGAGGCAAGTCCTCCAAAGGAAAAGGCAAGGACGCCGACAAGGGCAAGTCCAAAGGCAAGTCCAAGGACAAGTCCAAGGGCAAAAGCAAGGGGAAACACTGACTAGGTTCCGATTCTTCGGATGTGGAAATGGACAATGGACTCGACGAGGTTCCTTTGGAACAAGATGATGCCGTTGCTCCTGATCCACAGATTTCGTTACCTAGATCCCCTGCTGATCCCCGCGGTTACGACCCTGTTCGCCATGCTCCGGTGATGCCGATCCACACGGTTGACATTTACCGCTGGCATGGTACTGAACATTGGCGTGATAGAACCTGGGATCGCGACATAGAGTTCATCGACTGAACTGGCAGAGTGTTTCACGGAATGCTTCTTTCAGAAGAAGGTATCCACTTGAGCATTCGTCATTTCATAGGGAGATGCTTTTCTCAGGAAAAGGTACTTCCTAAAGAACTCTTTCTCAAAGAAGATACTTATCTCAGGATAAGATACTTCTCATGCCCTTATATATTTGCCGTGTCGCAAGATGTCATGCTGACATCAAGTGGAGCTAAGCTCTAAAATCTTTTATGTGACAGTAAGCTTTCCGCCTGGAGAGGAAACTGAACACAAGTGGGCAACTTTCAAGCAAAAGTTTTCAGTTGAAGATCCGTTTGCGTTTTCGTGCGTGTTCTGCTCTTTTCATTGAAGCTGTCTTCAGGTGAGAGATGTATAGATTCTCTTCAAGTCGCAGATGTAGCTCAATACTCCGCTAATTCGACCGAGAGCAATAACAGGCTAGTTGAATGCCGACTCCACGGCCATGCAGCTCTACGTGTTTTAAATTTGTGCCTGGTTGAAACACTGAATGTTACACATCCAGGTGCCTGTCTGTTTCACGTATCACTTGCATGTATCCATGCCTGTTGCTCAAGGTTCTAGTGCAGTGGACTACAGCTGTGCGCCTGTAGCAAAAGAGACACCTGAGTGCCTGTGTTCCTGTACGCCTAGCGAGGGGATACACGTCCAGGTTACATCTCAGGGGGAGGGGGGGGGGGCCGAACCGGGATCATATATATATATACTACCGTACCAAGAACTGAATACAACGCCAAGAACCGAAAGCAGTCTACCACACCTGCTCGTCGGTCATGCCGCCTGGGATGGTTACCTTCATCCAGAGACCCCAGACAGCGGAAGTTGTCTCTGGTGCGCGGTGCGCCTGCTGCACTCCCTGGAGAACCTCCGGCTTCTTGCCCTGCAGGAGCATGGAATTATCACAAGCGAGGGAACGAAGGGAAGGGTGCAGCGCGGCCGCGCTGCGGCGCGGCCTGCGTTTGCTCCAGGAGCCGCTTCAGCTCCGCGCTCAGCTCGGCGGCCTCCGAGCCACGAGAAGCTGACAGCCGGCCGCCGGCGGCGCCGCTCCCGCCGCGCACGCAAGCGCCGCCCGGGCGCGGGCGGCGGGCGCCTTCTTCCGCTCGCTGTCCAGCTCCTTCTTCAAGAGCTCGATCTCTTCCTGCGTTCACACGGGGTACTGAACGGCTGGCGGCTGGCGGCATGGAGTCCTGAGCTTTTTGAAGCAGCTCCTCGAGTTCTTCCCGCTTGCGCCGCTCTTCCTGGTGGCTTCACGGAAGTTGGCGATGGCTTAGGTTGTCATGGCTTGTAGTTTTGTAGCTTCCTCCAGCTCCGCGCTGAGCCTGCGGAAGGCTTCGCCGTCGACCTGAGAGTGGAGCGAGAGCAGAGCAGCGGAGCTCTCGCGGAGCTCTAGCGGAAATTGGTGGATTCTAACTTCTAAAACTCTTTTGGAAGCTCAGAGTCCGAAACCGTGGTTTTGCCTTCCGTCTTTGCTGGAGCCTTAGGCACGTCAGGGCCGCACGGAAGCAGCGCAGCGGCGCAGCGAGGATCTTCGCACTGCGGTTTCTGGGATGACTGCGGGGCCCTTCTGCTTCTTCAAGGCGGCGATCTCCTTCTGGGCCTGGAGCTGAGAACTTGCTTTGGCCTCTTCTGGCCTCCGCCTCTTCAAGTTCAGGCCTCCTTCAGCCGGTTCTCCAGGTCTTCGATCCGCTTCCTCGCCTCGCGAGGGAGAGCGGAGAGGAGCGGATGGCTGTCCGTCGGCTCCGACGGGCTCCGCGATGCCAGGGCTCCCGGCCGCTTGAAGCTCGGCATCTGAGGACAGGAAGGGAGGGAAATGAGGAAAAGGCAGCAAAAGCTTTTGCCGCTTTGCCGAGCTTGCCAAGGCACTGAGCTGCGCTGAGGCGTCTCCAGAAGCCGACGCTTGCCTCATGACGCGCCGTCGGTTGACATACTAACCTCTGCCTCTGCCAATAACTGCAATGCCCAGCCGACAGCGCTTTTGCCAGTAGTCTGCTTTCCAAAAAATTCCATGTTTGCCCCTCATGGCAGCATCAGTCTGCAGAATTTCTCTTCTAAGGGGTGCGTGCATTCGGTTGACACCAGCAGATTGACGAGAATGCAATCGACGAAGGTTAAAACAGCGGGATCGGCCAGAAAACGCAAAAAATCCAATGCAAGATATGCCGCGCAAAAACAGCGAGCTTACAACACCTTCTAACTTCGAACACATCCTGACAGACTGAGCACTCGTATATTTTGCCTTGCCCTTGTGGCACGCAAAGAAGCTCTGCAAGGCTCTGCAAGTCTTGAACTCCGGTCCGGAAGCAAACCGGCACTCCCAAGCCCCCCTTCTGCTGGACGGCCATGGCGTGCGGCGGAAGGAGGGGGGGGGGGCCAGCGCCGAGGCAGATGTGCTTCATTTCGATGATCAAAACGAATGCTCGGTGCTGTGGACTGGTGGAGCAAGCAAGCCGCAAGCCCGAATCTGACAGAAGGAAGGCCACCTGCACACGATCAAACCTCTGGGTGCCGACAACAAAACTCTGCGCTTCAGAAACCATAACCCCTTTGTGTCTGTAACAGTGCGTCGGAGAGACACCAATTACTGTCAATTGCCACCCACAGGGCAAGCATGGCTACCTTCATGCGCTTGACGATTGCTTCAGGAATTACACTGCGCAGGACCGTACCCTTGCAAATCCAACTTCGGGCTCGAGCTGCAACTGCTTCTTCAACCTGCGACATGCGACATCACTGCATGTGAGATGGCCAAATCCACGCTCCGGCATGCTGATGCTGGGATGTGCGCTGCGCAATCATCTCCTCCAGCTTCACCCGCTGTTCCTCACCTGACTCTAGTTGCGATGCGAGGCCCTGTCGCCTTGCGTGTGGAAATGCGATCTCAGCTCGGGCACTCATCTTGAGTTGCTGCTTCAGCTTCAAGATTTCCTCCTCAGAATGATTTCGGATTCTCTTGCGTTTGAGACGTTCATGTGTCCTCCGATCCATCACTGCCTTTGTCGACAAGAGAGTTCCTGTAGGCATCCTTCACCTGAGCAAAGAGGCAAGGAGGCAAAGCGACTGCGCTGGGCCACCACCTACTGGCCCCTGCCCCTGCTTATCCCTGCTTCCCTGTTCCTGGCCTCCTTCCGCAGCTGTTCCAGAGATTTCTCCATGGCCGCCATGCGCTGGGCCGCCTAAGAGCGGCGGAAGCCCTCAGAGGCCCGGCTTTCGGCCCGGCTTTCGCCTTTAGTTCTGGCCTCGGCGGCGGCGGCCTCCAGCTCCCGGCACCGCGCCTCGGCGGCCTCCTGGAGAGCCCGCGCTTGCCGGAGCGCCTCCTGTCACAACGACGACGGCGCCCACACCGCGGCTGAGGCTTTCCGCCTCCAGCTCGGAGATCTTCTTCCGCAGGCCGATGACCAACCTGACTTCTGTTCTTGCAACCGCCGGCACGGGCGCGCGTGCTTGGCCCGCGGCTCGCTCTCCTCCTCGTTCTTCTGAAACTCCTGGCGAGGCAAAGAGTGGGATCCCACGAGTCCTGCACAAAAACATCAGGGACCAAGGCTAGGGCAGAGAGATCAACCGCAGAACCTTTCGCGTTCGCGATGGCGATGGCGAGCTTGATCCTCACAATCTCCTGACACGGTGGCTTTATGAGGGGTCCTGGGTGGCGGGCGGCGCTCTTGTCTCGCTCCTTGAAATATTCGCGCTTGTCGTGGTCCGAAAACCTCGGAGCCGCTGCGGTTCACAGGAGTGGTGGACTCAATGCACTGGGTCGCCGTGCCAGAAGTCGGGCCACCAAAGGACTTTCTTGTAATTCCGGTCCAAAGCTATCTCCAGTGCTACGCGCACCATGGCCTGGAGCTGCTGCCACAGAAAACAGGGGACTGCAGGTGACTTCCGACGAGAATTGCCTCGTTGCTGTGCTCCAAAAGAAGCCACACAGACTGGAGCAGGAGAGCGCGTTTTTTGCTTTGCAATTCGCAAACAAAATCCTCCAAAAACTGCCTCCTCTTCCTCAACTCTTTTTGGCGCGCCTTCGCCACTTCCATGACCCGGTGCAAGTCAGTGACCTCTGAAAGAGATCCCAAAGCTCATATTCCATGCCGTTGGTGGCAACTCGGGAGGAAGCTTGCTGATTCCATAGCAGTTCATCAAAGACCTATCAGGTGGCTTTGCAAACACTGCGGACCAAGATAAGCTCGCACGGCCCGTCCTTGCCTCTTCGTCCTCCGTGCCTCCTTGCTTCTCCATTTCGGCCCTGCGAGATGCATCGACATAACGCAATCCACCCAAACTGTGCAATGGCAAGGGCGCTGCTTGATGCGTTCGGCTGCATTGAGCCCTGACCTGCGCTAGCAAATAAAGCAGAAAACGGAGCCTCAATTGAAAAAATCTGTTGGTTGAAGCGCCGCCAAGCGACGGCCAGGTCCTCGGCACAACTTCCCGCCCCGCCATCCTCGGCCGCACGAGCTTTCGGCATCTCGACCTCTTTTGGTTCTTCTTCCCATTGCCTCGCATCCCACCTGTTTGTTTCGAGCTCGCTCTCTCTCAACAAAAGGGCACTGGTCTGTCGCGGCACCTTCCACCTGTGGCTCAACGTTTGGACTGGTATTTCAATCGAGGTTTGGACTGGTCTGGAACGTACTTTCCCCCAACGTGAACAACACACTGACCCAACCGTCCGGCTCATCTCTGTCACTCTGAAACCTCAAACACAAGAACTACTGCTAAATCCAGCCTCCACCAATTTCAGTGGCTTGGGTGGATCGTCCGCTTTGGGCGCCCACTTGTAAGTTTCGTTAAAACGTTGACAGCGTCCCCGACATTCATTTTAACCGGATGCTTCGCCCCTCGTCCGCAAGCTCCACAAACTCGGGGTTCTCCTGTGCACAGCCACCTATAAACTAAACCAAACCACCGAACCATTCCGCGCGCAAAGCGCAAGACGTTCCACAGGGGGGACCGGGGGATGACCAAATGTGGGGACACTATTGGGCAACGGTGAAAGAGGCGGCAGGGGGTGTGCCCGCCAGGGCTGCGAAGGTAACCAGAATAGCACACAAGCCACCCAAAAGCACATGTGCACAACTCACTCAACTGCGAATTTCGGGCGGACTAGTCCGTTACCCCAAGAAGGAACCGCTCCCTCACAAGCACTCGGTCGGCGAGCACAGTCCTTTTACTCCAGTGCAGAAAACCGGTGGTCTGGTGAGGTTCAGACACAGTCGGACGCAGTTCGGTTGAACTGGACCTTTTGGCGGCGGTCGGATCGGCCGCAAACAGAGAGAGAGGTGAAACAGGAACGGAACAGGAACGGACGTGGGCGAAAAACGGACCACGGAAGCAAGTTCAGGAGGCACTAAAGTCCGGACGGACAGAAGTGCAACAGCCGGAGCTGAAAAGCCTCTGGGAGGCGTAAAGGGGACGGTGGAGGGCAAGTCAAAAGCGCAACCGACCAGCTGCGAGCCGATGTGCAAAGCGGCAGCAAAAGTACAGACTTTTCCCTTTGAACCAAAGCCTCGTCGTAGCAAAGTCTGTATATGTACACATGCACATATGCTCATGAGGGAAATTTAATGCTTAGCACCCCTCCTCGTGAGCCTTTGAACTCCAAGTTTAAAGCACTCACATCGACTGAGTGTGCCAGCTGTTATCCTTTGGATCTCGCTGGTTCACAAACCCTTGAAAGTAGACTGTACACTACTCTCCTACGTGCCAGGGGCCGTCGGTGGGCCATTCGAACTTTTGTTGTAGTCCTGGCATCCATTACAGGGCTCCAAGCAACAGCATATGTCCACACTGGTTCATCTTTGGGAACTTTCTTGTTTCTAGAGTGTGGAACCTTTACCGGCAAACTGTACACTTTGTACACACACTGAGAACGGCATACCACATCTACTTCAGAGGATTGTAAACGCGCGGTACGTTGCATGCACCAAAAAGCGACTTATCCTCGTTGGAGAAATATGTGCAGAAAACTATGCACACAGCCACCTCAGATCAAATTGACGAACCGACTCAGTCCTTGACCGCGCCATCGTAGAGGTCATCGTCCATCAAGGGCGGCACTGGCCGCAGCGTTTGAGTCCTGCAGCAAGGGCTTCATCCAAGGTCAGCCGGATCAGCTTCTGCGGCTCTAGGCGCTGAGCACGTCGCACCATGCCACACGTCCCCCTGTGCACTGCACGGCCGCTGCCGATCCGAAAAGTCTGAGGAGCTGCCGTTGGCCTTTGGGACCATGGACCTTGTACTCGTTCTTGCGGGCGTGGATGTCCCTGATCATCTCCTTGCACTTGGGCCGCTGGTCCATCACCTCGAACTTGCTCTTGTGGTTCTCCTGGAGGTACTCGCACTTTAGGAGCTTACCCTTGTGGCTCAGGAGGTTCATATGTGAAGCTCTGAACATATGCTTCGGTCACACCAGCTTCATCATCATCTGAGTTGGGACAGAACAACCAACGGTCATCAAATTCAACATGGTCCGGCATTGGAGTTGAGGCAGAAGCCGAAGCGGTAGGTCCGGAATCCAGTCCAAGCTCTTTGGTGTACCACGCGTGAATGTTATCTCGGACTTCATTCATGTTCGAAGTCCTTGGTGGGCCCTCTTCGCGCATCTCAGGGTCCTCTTCGCGAATCCGGCTCCACCTTCTCTTTGGAGCCATCATGCACAATGCGACCGCGACCAAGACAATCGCCCCGAGGATCATGAAGACCGGCTGGGAGACGGCCTCCTTGACCATGCCCAACATGCTGTGGCGCTCGAGCTGCGTTCTGCACGTAGTCGAGCTTTCCAGTTCGTCTGTCGCCGTAGCGCGACTCAAGGCTATGGCTGCAGTCAAAACCCTTAGCACTTCTGCTGCTTCTACTGTCCTGTGAAGGGGTCCAGGCTGCTTCGGACACTTTGAAGGCTCTATGATCCCATCATGGTTGTACATGCCCAGCAAGTGCAATAAGTGCTTCACTTTGCTTGAAGTCAAAACTTTTGTTCCGAGAGCACTTGTGTTGACCAACGTAGCAACCGGCCGCACTGTCAAAGCTTTATCCCGAATCAAAGTTTGTGTCCACAGTAGCCTGACATCTAACTGCTTGATGCGAGAGACCAGCCGAGCAACCAGGATCACCTCATCTGCAGTCAGGCTTGCCCAAAGGTTCTTCAGGAACAAAGCTTCAGCGATTGCAGAGGTAGAAGCAATCAACTCTGACTCACACGAAGACAATGCTACGGTAGATTGCCGTCGACTGTACGAGAACATCAAATTCCCGTCCAGAAAGATATGCCCTGACGTCACAGACTTCCGATCAGCACTTCCAGCCCAGTCTGCATCACTCACTGCCTCGAGTAATCGTGGCGTAGGTTCCCGATCCTCATCTGGCGACGGACGGTCCCCATCTGCTCTCAACCTTGGTTGAAAACGAGGACTCTCATCCAGGAACGATCTCCCAGGCGAACTCCACCGCAAGACCAAGCTATAGTCTCGAGTGGAATACAAATGCTCCGCTAAGTACTTCACATGCTTCAACTGCTTCACCGTAGGTGATGAGACATACCCCGAGCCAGAACACCAATCGTAAACTGAGCATCTGGACGATCAGGAGCAATGTACATTAAGCATCCTAGGGCTGCCCTGTACCGACCTGTCCACAGCGCATCCAACTTGTCAGACTCGTCGAGGGCGGCCAGGTCAGTCGTAGAAGGGAGGAAGCTCCGGTCCATCCGGGACTGCATACTTGTCAAGGCTGGCGTCAACAATAGCAAGCTGAGCAGAAGATGACGGCTTGTCTTCAATAGGTAGGCGTTCATCACCGGCCAGCTGACGACGCTTTCTTGGGAGAGGCGGGCACGGCTTCAAAACCGGGCTCCTTGAACGATCGTCCCGATTATTGCCAAACAACCGAACAGAGGTCAGGCTTTCAATAACCCGATTTGCCATACCTTCATCATGAATCTGAATAGACTGGGCCGAAGATCCACTACCTTCAGTGAGAGTCAGAAAAGGCGAAGGGGGAGGAGCTCGGGGAACCGCGGCATCCACATGTACTTGAGGGAGCGAAGGAGTCGAAGAAGAAGAAGGAGGGGCAGGTGGAGCAGGAAGAGCGCGGCGGCCTCCGGAAGCGCTTCCGGTAGGCTGTGCCCATTCTGGAAGTGTGTCTGGCGGTGCAAGGGCTCGGTTCACCTCTTGTGCAACCCTCTTTCGAATATACATTTCCACGGAGCCACTTACAGGGACAGGAGGGCCCGAGGACTTCGGGAACAAATTGAGACTGTCCTCCGCGGACATTGTCGAGTTTACAGGAAGCTACAGAATATACAAGGCACAAAAGCTCTCGAGCAAAGGATACATGGCAAGCAACCAGCTCAATGGCACATGGACTGAGACACTGTGCAAGCGCGGGCAACAACGAAGGCAAAGTCTGTTTAAACTACAGTCGAGCGAGCGCGAAGATTGTTAAACTGTAGCCTAACACGTTTCAGAATGGGGTACATCATCAACGGATCGAATCCCTGTCGTACATAGGACTGTAGAAGCTGATCAAGATCGGCCTCACGTTGCTCCAACGGCCAAGAAGCACGTGCAATCAAGTGAGCTCTGGATCGAAAGCTGCTTAACAGTGTCCGTGTGTTGGCGGCAGAGTTGGGGTGTAAGAACTTCCAGGTCTCAACAGGTTGGACATACTGTACTCGTAGTTCCTGTACATCCACATGAAAACCCAAGAAAAGGTCTCCATCCTCATACTCAAGTACAATGGGCGGTATGTATACATCCTGGTGCAGAAACGCTTGTACAGCAGCATAGTTGGCCTGGCGATCAAGAATCAAGCTCATCCGATTGTCCACGTATCGAACCACAAAGCCGAAGGTTGGCAAGCGAGAAGACTCTAACAAACATTTTCCAAAGTACATGTGCTCGTATAGGCTTACCACGGCATGGCAAGCTGCCGGAGAGAAATGGCTTCCCATCGGTGCACCTCGGATTTGTTGGATAGCCTGCTGACCCACCATGAATAGATTGAACTTGAAAGACACTTGTACAGCCTCCAGAAATAGGTC